AACAGGCGCATCACGGCGCTCTGGCGCCCTCTAGGGCACACGCATAGCATAGCTTCAGTGACTTCGTAAAAATGTCATTGCATGTGTGCGTGCTCCCTCGCCCACGGTATTTTACTCAATATGCGCAAAATGTATGTTGAAATAGCAGTAATACCAGTGCCAAGTTCATTGATAAAATGACATAAGGGATGAAAAGGGGGGATGGCAGTTTCAGAAGGGGGATGATTTTTGACCGTTTTTATTTCAGGGGGGATGCCATCCCCCTTCAACTCGAGTACTGGCCGGGACGCCCCGTATTTGAGCCAAAAGGGGCGTGTCCCGTTCGGGACTTTGTTTGTCCCGGACTCCCGTGTAAAGGGAAAAATAAAAAATATGTTTCTGTTTGCGCGCAATGCAGTGCGTCTGGCTGCGTGCCTGTGTGTTTGTGTGCTGTATTCGAAGGGCGCTAGGACCGCTCAGTTGACAGGGCAGGCACAATGCTCGCACGTGTGTGTGTGAGAGATGTTCTCCGGTGGGCCGCAGGCGCGGCATCATTGTTTGTGTGGCGTGTGTGTGTGAGAGAGTCAGTCAGCTGATTGCTGGGAAAATGGTTGGTTGAAGGATAACATTAAGTCTAATAATGATGTACCGTGCATGTTCACATCATGTATACTTTGCATTACTTAATACCATTTTTCAAATATTTATTTTTTAACATTTGACAAAATAGCCAATTGTACATCGAGGTGCCCAGATGTCCCTAGTGCCCATCTATCCGATTTGAACATGCTGATGTACAATGTGATGTAGTAGTCTAATGCAGGTGTAAGACCATTGTGTTTGTATTGTGTTATAGGTATGCATAGTTTTCTATGCATTTTGAGGGTTTTGGGGGGTTTGACCCCCAAAAACATTTTCGAACCCTATGGGCTGGCTCCCCCAAAATAATTAAATAACATAACCCTAACCTAACCCTAAAACCGAAATAAAGTAACAAAAAAAAGTAACTAAATCTGCCAGAAACCCGAAAATCTTCGCGCACGCGCGCGGGGGACACATGCATGTGTCCCGTTTCTCCATTTCTGGAAGTTGGCAACCCTAGCTCTAACGGATATTAGAAGAAGATGTTTCTATAATGATGTGGTTACAGTTACAGTAGTGAATATAAACAGACTGATTAATGTGAATATTACTGTAAACTAACCTGTGTAAAAGTTTCTTGAATAAATGTAATTTTTTTGGTGGAAGAAGCATGTATCATTTTTTTACCGTGCCCCTCAAAGAATCGGAATTGAGAACCGTTAAGAACCGGAATCGAAAAGTAGAATCGGAATCGGAATCGTGGAAATTCAAACGATACCCAACCCTAGTTATGGGGAGAGTAGGGGATCAGAATACTGAAATCTGTAGGCCTATCTGTATCTGTATTAATGGACGTGCCGTTGTGCGATTGCGTTGCCAGCGCAATAATACAAACTCTTCAACTACAACCCTAATTATATTTAAAAATATTTTAGAAGGCCTCACGAAATACTTTAATGTAAATTAAAATGTAAATGTGAAGGGATGTGTGTAATGTGGTGATTGACATTATTCAACCACGGATCTATGGGTTGGGGTATTGTTCCGCACGGACATTTTAGTTAACCGGACTTCCTGTTGATGTGAAATACGAAAACATTTTTTTAAAATAAAATAATACTTTATTCCGAGTGTTCTTGCTTTTCTCTTTGGAGGTCATCACATAACGGCATTGTAATACACGGTTCGGCTGCATTAAATATTACATATCTGCCGTAGTTCTCTATTTATAGAGCCCTGATGAGAAGACTTCTGGACAAGCAGGAGAACTGCCGCCAAAACTGAATATGTGACGTGGATCATAAATATATCAGCAATTAAACAAAATCTTCAATTTATCTTCACAATATAAGTCTCCTTGCTGTATCAATACTAATTTGGCTGTCTTTTATATTTGATCCAATCGGTATATTGGTATATTTACATCATAAGGGTGCACAGCTGATAGAAAGGGACACCTGGTGGTTAAAGCACGTTATTGAAATGTATTATTTTTATTATTAGATATTAATAGGAGACACAGACAGACAGCCTAATAAGGCTTTATTTAAACATTAAAGAATACTTTAGGTTAAGGTCTTATTTTGAATAAGAAAAAAGCTTTGGGGGTATAAATATTAAGCCTGACAAAGTACTAATATAGTGCTTTCCTGCAATGTTAACTACTGTATGTTGAAGCACTTATTTTAACTGATATTATACATATGTATTATACTCTTATATAAGATGTATGTAGATAGTATAAGAAATGTGCAGAATACGACAGTTTAATGGTGGAGGTATGCACACATATTGATAGATGTCTTGTCATGCACTGTTGAGGAACCTGCAACCAAAGTTGTTCATCTCCGACCTTGTCAGGTATTGAACAATCAATAAATAAAGAACACATAATTATTAAATATAAAACACAGAATTTGTGTGATTATACTAAATGATTTCAAATAAACACCACTGCATATTTACAACCGTTACACATGCTGATGTAACACAAATGTTTCCAACTTGGGATCAATAAAGTATATCTTATCTTAAGATGATCGATGGCTACTGCCATATTTGCAAAAGGCCTCTGAACCTTGACAAGTGCATGTTTCAAGCTTATCAATGAACAGTGTTGTGCTAGTTACTGAAAACCAGTAACTAGTTACCATTACTAGTTACTTCATTTCAAAAGTAACTCAGTTACTTTACTAGTTACTTACACAAAGAAGTAATGCGTTACTGTAACGTTTTCGTTACTTGGAAAAAGGGCGCCCATTAATGCCCTTATAGCCTTCATTTCAGTACTGTTATTGCATTGGAGAATAATACAATCTGTTGATCAACTTGACATGCATTATATGCAATCTGGATTGCATCGATATTAGCTGGCTTTCCATTTTTGTATATTCTTTCTCCAGGTAGTTGGAAAAAGTGTTCCGTCCCATATGCCGTGTGCCGCCCGGACATGCTATCATGCTAACTAGCTCCCTGAAAGCGGGTGACTCCACTGTAGCAATAGCCTGCATGTGTTCTACAACATACCGTGCAATGGCTTTATCGACTTTTCCCTGGCCAGCAGTCCCTCGGTTAAAATCCAGCCGCTGTTGCTTAGGTGGAGGTGGAGTGGCGTCGGCTGAGTCTCTGTGGTCTTAGCTACTAGCTTCGTCCCAGCATGTTGTTTTTGCAGATGTTTTAAGAGATTTGAATTACTGGTTTGGGCAGTAGATAAGATCTTTGACCTGCCAAGACACAACTTACATTTAACAGAAACTTTCTTTTCTTTGTGCTCGACAAAAGTGAAATAGTGAGAATATCTCCAGGTGGAGAAACTAGACTTGAGCTCCGCCGCCGCCATGACAGTCTTGTTAGTAAACAACACAAACACGCCCACAGCCCGTCTCCGCATGTGACACAGGAAGTATCAAAGTACATTTACTCAAGTACTGTACTTAAGTACAGTTCTCATCTCTGTTCGCCTGGCTGTTGACTATATAAAAAAACTAACGGAGTAACGCACCATGTAGTAACGGTAACTGAGTTACTGAATTAAAAAGGTAATGCGTTAGAGTACTAGTTACCAAAAGTAACGGCGTTACAGTAACGCTTTACTTGTAACGCGTTAGTCCCAACACTGTCAATGAACAACAGGAGGGGTCACAAACATAAGACCAGCTGTTAAATAAAGCTCTTCTGACCTTAGCTGGCATGTGGGTATATATATTAATTCTGCCCATTATGGGCACAAGCAATTTTCACCCATTTATTAATTATATGTTTTAAATGTGAGTGTTTCCTATCCCCTAAACCTCCAGGGATGTACACAGTTTAATACTGGCCACTTCTTATTATGGGAAATACGAAAACGTCTTTTAAAACTACAACTCCCAGTAGAGACGTGCCATAGATAGAGAACATGTTGCGAAACACAATAGCCAGCATGTGTAGTTCTGGGGACGGGGTGGGGGAGGGGGGGACGCGGTGGACCCGTTCAAATCCAGTTTTGGACAGTCTGCCGTGGTTCCATCCCATTTCAAGTGCTGTTCGATGCTCGGCGTAACCCTCGGAGCACACTCTCCAATCACAGAGCTTGAGGACTATCACAGGGTTTGTCAAGCGAAGCGGAGAGAATACTTACTTCCCGGTGTAATATTCTCTAAAGCAAATGAGCTGCTCCGACCCTCGGTCCTGACGGACTCCAACTTGTGTTTATTAATCAAACAAATAAATAAACACAAGGATAATTATGTGTTATTGTTGAGTAAATAACAGTGTGTGGTTTAGAAAATAATACAACATTAGAAGGAAAAAACGATGAAACAATACAGATTTCAGTATTCTGAGCCCCTACTCTCCCCATAACTGACGGCAACAAAAGTCCTACATTATTCAATTAAAATAAAGAAGTAAAAACAATAAGTGTGGCTTGATATTGAGTTAGAAAAAGGTTGATAAACGCTGTGAGAATGGATCTGCGAAGAGCATTCGCTCGCGATCTCAAGTCGTCTACAACATACGTTGAAAGTTGAAAATGTACGCTAAGGGCCGTCCCCCCTTGCGTTGGAAAAAGCCGACACAGGGGACTTGACATATAACGTCAACATAGGCCGACCTGGGAGTGAGGATGTGTTTAATAAACCGTCAGTGTTTGCCATCAAAGTTCCTGCTCTCCCCGTGTCTCTCTGAGTCCTGTCTCCATTGTTTCAGAAGTTTCCATTACATTTACCACATTAATGACATTTTTTTGCTTTTTCAGCAGCTGCTTTGGTTGTGATCTCATGGAGTTTATTCTGTGAGCAATGCCTTGGCAATGCACACTGTCAGCTGCTTTCAGAGGACATGAGATAGTTCTGAAATGTCAATTGTCTGTGAAGTATCCTTCCAAAAGTCCACTCAGTTTTACATCAAAGCGTGTCCTTCTAGTGATGAGACCCTGCTTTACTTCTTGTCTTCCTCAGGTATTTATGGGCCAAATGAAGGATGGTCGTCAGCCTACCCAGAATGCAGAGAGAGAAACCAATCACCTATCAACATCGTTGACCAGGATACCATAATATCCACCGAGTATCAGGAACTGACACTGGAGGGATTTGATGCTGAATCCTCCAATAAGACATCCATGAAGAACACCGGAAAAACAGGTACTGCAAAGACAGCTCGGGCTGCTGGTGAGATTTGGTTCATAGCTTATTGCTTTATATTGGATATGATTTCTTCAAAACTCATACTGACTGAAATGTTTGAAGTATTATATTGAAAGAGTGACTTAAAGGTGGGGCAGGTAATTTCGGAGAAACCAGCTCCAGTGCGCTAGAATTTGAAAATACACAGCCGGAAAGAATCTGCCACTTCCTCACAGAGCCCCTCCTCCAACACACACCAACGCGCACATGACCAATGAGGGCACGAGATAAGTTTGTGCACAGATGGAAGGCTGACAGGCAGGTAGGCCATCCAGTTACTTTAGCCGGGCCGGCTCAGATGATTGGTCGTGCTTTTTACAGCGCCACGGCTTCCACAGATGAAGTGTTTTATGGATTTGTTGTCAAAGCACTTAAGATATTCATTGCTATCGGAATGTTAAGAGCATTCCATGGAATATAACAAAAAGTGTATCTCGAGCCGGTTTCTCAGACTTACCCACCCCACCTTTAAATGTTAGCAAAACATATGTGTTGTTGAGATTTGTTAAGCATGTTAAAGACCTTTTAGGTCATTTTTATTCCCAGTTTTTCACAATTAGTTTGTACTGTAACTGGCCCCACTAGTGCCAAGATTGTTTTTTATTTGAACTTTTAGTTTGTTTGTCTTTGGTCCAGAATAAAATAGATTGACATGTTCTGGTCTAATTGCCTTGAAACTTGGGAGGACCATCAGCTGATTCTTAATTGTGTACCATTTGTCCAATGTTGGACATGACAAACTACAGTTCCTGAATGACCCCATCCATGTATTAAGTTACAATGTCATGTTGCCTGTTCCTGACCTTCAATTTGAGTACAATTGCATCAGAACTGGTAGTTGTTCAATGGAAAACTTGTTAAAAAAACCTGTATTGTAAAATAAATATAAGTTACCTTTTCACCATGGCCTTTGACCCCTAACACATCACAGTCCCCTTGCTTCCACGCCTACTGCTATGTATTTCATTTTTACTTCATTATTTGCCCCTTTTGTTTGTGTGTGTGTTTGTTTATTTATTTGTTCTTGTTCTTGTGTAATATATTAGTATTATTATCATTATAATAATATCTAGTCACAAACCCCACATGAGCAGTTAGTTAAGAGTCATGCCAGATGTAACGACATAATGTTTGTTACCATGCTGTGACAGACCACAGAGAAGAGGGAATGGAAGCTGAAGTGTCACACAGATAATAATCCGGCTCGTATTGGCAGGTGTCTGCATGTCAAACATCTGTTGCATCACCTCCGAGCTCATGATTATAAAACAAGACAGGTGCAATATGCAACAAGTCATTTATGATGAAGATTACACATCCCATTATCATTCAGACATGCTGCATCCATTTCAGTAGAAGTGCCATGGCAGGTGTCAGTGCCTGTGGGATTCAGCGCTGAGCCCTCTGATTTGGGCTCTTTGGCATCTCGAGGACCCTCCTCGTCAGACACATGTATTTTTCACAATTCCAGGTTGTCACTAAGATGGATGATCCTTCCCCACAGTAGAGAAATGGAGTTGAAAGGCTTTTGAGAGGCAGAGACCACAGGTGGTTGGCAGAGCTGTTGACAGCCCTCTGAGTGCTGCCCAGAGCACAGCTGTGTGTTAAGCACTATAGTGTTTTACATCCTATCGTTTGCTCAATTGAGAAGGATTGTGATGACACATCTCAATAATTTGCCAATTGTCTGTCGGTTTACTGTAACTTCACTAGGGTGTTTGTTTTATTAAAGCTTATCCTATTAGCCTTAATTACAAGTAGCAACTCGTAGAATTTGAACATGTACAACACTCTGTGTCTTTGTCCATAGTATTTGGACATGGACAACAGTTTGGTCAAGACAACAGTAACACAATAATGAATAAAAAAGGTTGGATTATGTGAATCAGATGTCACTTTTTGACCATAATTGCGTGAGTAAAGAGATGCACATTTCTGCTTTGCATCCTTTGTGGAAGCACCATAAGAGTTACTGCATGCAGGAGTGTTTTTCAGATGTTAGCTGAGTGTTATGATTTACAAGAAACAGATCACCCAGACCATCCAACACCTGGAGTGTTCACCTGCGTTACACCTTCCCACTCACAAAGCTGCCTCAGAGATGTCATTTGCTTCCTCACCGGGACTCACACATCAGCCTTAGAAGAGTGTGATGGAACAAATTAAAGAAACACACCTAGCATTTGCTGTTTAACACACACATATCATTATATTATTATTTGTCCTTTACAGTGATAGCTACAGAATGTATATAACGTACCACAAACACTGCAGAGCACTGGAAACAGCTTGCCTTGCTCATTCCTTGAGCACAGTTAAAGTAAAATGATGTCTTTTATTTTTTAAACCTGACTCACTAGTGTCAGGCTTCGACATGTTTAGACATTGTGTAAATTAACCTCACGGCAAGAATAACTCAAACTGGCTATATGACATGTCTGGTCATTGAAGGACAGAATAGCTAAAGTCTCAGTTATCCTTCCATGCTTGCAAATTCCCTCAGCGGCCTTGTTTCCATAGCCTAACTGTTTTCCTTCCCAATTTTCAGTGACTGATTAAGGTCACCGCGAGTGCGTAAATGTCCGGTCCAGCTCCCAGTCATAGCATCATGGCAATACGTTGTTGAGATGTGAGACATCAGTTTGTCTGAGTGCAGGTAGCTTCATCAGGCGAGGCGGACACAATGTGGAAGTGGACCGATGAGCCGACCTTCAGGGAGAGGACCACCAGCGCTGACACACACTGGCACAAACAGAGAGATAGGAGTGAGAGACACAGGCAGGGAGAGAGAGACCCCATCAAAGCATGAAAAATACCCTGCACGTCTGATGCAGAGGCTCCTTCAGCAGCTCAGAGCATCCTCCGAAGGCCACCCAGAAAGGGATGATGATGATGATGATGATGATGATGATGGCCACCTGCAAAGTACCACATTCAGCAGAGCATCATTCAAATGGATTTTGGGTGCATGTCGAGAGCCATGTAAAAATGCAAACTGAAACAGCTGCATAGCAAACTGGCGTGAAGCTTCAGCTCTCCCCCGTAAATAATGCACCTAAAGAGACAAATGTCCCTGCATTTTCTTCGCAAACTGTGAATAGACTGTATCTAAATGCGTTTTATCTGTGGAGGGATCATCTGCTTGATATGCTGTGATGAAGCTGTGAAGGCAGGCTGGGAGGCGGTGGATTACCCCCCACACACACACATATCCTGCAGAACAAACCCAATTCAGAGTCTTCACAGTAGTTTTATTCACGGCTCAACTTCAACTTCTTGAAATTGAACGTGGAGTCATCAACATGTTATCGATGGGATGGAAACAAGTTGTTTCAAACTATTTAATAAAACGGACACTAAATAATATACAGCTGTTTCTTTGTGGGGTCAAAATGTGAATGTAAATATACTACATTTTGGAAAATGCATGAAGTCAGAAATGTATGGGTTTTGATAACGCAGGGAAAAAATATGACCCACTTGGTGGTTCCAGTGTTATTCATTAATTATTTTTGGCGCTTTAAGACAAAATGCTATTCAATTTGCTGAACATATTTAACCAGCAGCTTCAATACTCAAAGCATAAGAATAATATCTACAGCTCCATCAAACAGATATAAAATGATTTAGGTTCCAGATACACTGAATTATTTTTAACAACATGCCGACCTGGAAGACAGACCCCCCCCCCCACACCCACACAATGCTGCAGGATCCAACCAGGTGCTTCACTGTGTGCTCAGAGAGGGGCCGACCAGCTGGCTGATGATATCTGAGACCACCACCATCATCATCCCAGTGCAGAAGAGTGTGTCCTGCCTCAGTGACAAACTCCCTGTCACATAAATGATCATGAATTGCTTTGAGATCCTGTCACCCCACATCAATTGACCCCATCCAGTTATCATATGGCCCCCAGAGGTCCTCAGGGGGTCCCATTACATCTGCCCTACAGCTAGCCATGTCACACCTGAATAACGAGAACACCCTTAGAAAGCTATTTATTGATTCATAAGGTTTACAATTATTCCCCAAGAGCTGGTATGAAAGGTGGGCCCCTTGGCACCTGAAGGTCTCATCTCGTACTCAGATCCTGGACGCATGGGGGGACATTACAAAACCACATATTTATCTCTTGCAACTCTCTTGCCATATATGACAATTATTTAAAATAATAACAACAAAGCTATATTTGTATAGCACTTTTCATACACCACGTGCAGCTCAAAGTGCTTTAACAACATGGCACACTTCACAATGACAACAGAGAAACAAGAAATACACTTCAGGTCAGACGGTGAAACCTTTTTGTACACATAAAGAATAGCAACATCAAATAGCAGATTAACAGTGTAAGGGACACAAGGAGGTAAAAGGTACGATAATAAAGCAAACAAATAATAATGATCCCTCATGGTAAAATGAAGGAAGACATAAGACAAAATGCATAGATGTATAAAAACCTTTACAATTAAAAAATTAAAACATTTAAAAAAAGGAATAATAAAAGGTAATAATAAAGTTTAAAAGACCAACTTAAAAGGAAATGTCGCTAATACAACTGTAAAATACATAATAAGTATACACTGTATATGACTAGAGCGCTGTGCCTCTTCAGAGAGACAAGGTGGAGCAGCTGGCACCGGCTGTTAACGAGACAAAAGAGAGAGGTCCCACTCTGCCAGCACAAACTCTGTATCTACAGCTCCTGTGAACAAGTCAGATATCATTGCTGTTGACCTCAGCCAGTCGAACAAATGCACATCCCCAACCAAGTGTCACTCTGCCCCAGCTGTCTGTAGAGAGCCGGGCCTCCCAACACCACACCATTATGCCCACCTCCTACTTGGGAACCTTTAAGAGTGTCCTGACTGCGGCTTTCGTTTTTTCAACCAAGTAGAGATTTAACCACGCCCTCTTGCGCTTGGCTGAAGCATTGACGCAGCATCAGAGTGACACCATTGGAGTTTTCAAATCCTACATGGCAAAATCTTCTGAGTTCAGAGAGAGCCTGTCTTTTGTTTTTTTGAGGCACAATTGTGTTTAAGACCTGTTATATTGTGCATTAAAATCAAACTCACGTGTTGGTTATGAAAGATTAGAGGTAACATAAACACGGAGAACAAAAAAAGGCCCAAGGACTGAGCCCTGAGGCACTTTAGTGGAGAAATGTGAGGCTGCAGATATAAAGTCCCCAACAGCAACATATTTCCTATTACAAAGATAGGAATAAAACTAATCTAAAGCTGTACCCTAAAGACCAAGCCAGCACTAACATTCAGTTTGACCTCCAAATGAGGGGTTCTATTAATCTGGGTAAACTGTTGTTGTGTTTACATCCTGTCTGATATTCTGACTGCCGTTGTTTCTTATATTACCTTTGCATTTTCATGTTCTACACTAATAACAATCATAAGCGCAGAATATGTAAAGTGCTGTCTCTATAAATGGGATAGAACTGTCTGATGAACTATGGCTGCACTGGTAAAGGAACACAGGAATCCTTTCAGAGAAAAGATACATGGGAAAATATGAGAGAAATGTACATAATCTTTTAACATTAAAGCATGGAAAGATGTCACAGTACAGACACTAAATACTGAACATGAGCAGAATATATCCTCTTAAACAACAATCATCAATTATATGTCTTCTATTTCTTTGAAACTTACAATTAACTTTGTATGTATGTTGAAAATGTAAAATGAAATTAATGATGACTCTTTGTTGCTCTATCTTTGTCTTTGTCTTTGTTCCAGTGGCCATTATTTTAAAGGATGACTACTTTGTTCGGGGAGCAGGCCTACCAGGAAGGTTTAAGGCAGAAAAAGTGGAGTTTCATTGGGGTCCTAACAATGGATCTGAAGGTTCCGAACACAGCATTAATGGTCATCGTTACCCTGTGGAGGTAAGCATTTTCTAAGTATAAACATTACAATATACATTTTGAAACCTCTTCAATTGCTTTCTAAAGGGAGTTTCTCGAGTCTGGAGAATGGATAGCACTTTTTACTGGAGCCAGTCATTTCAACTCTGCACAAAGGGGGATGTGTCTGGTTAGAGCTGCAATAGGATGAGCAATCATGGCTGAGTGTAAAAGACTGAAACACCGTTCTATAAAGGCAAACACTGCTAAAAATGTTTTTTGTTTTTTTTATTCATTTATTTTGAACAAACAGTAGTGGGAGTGTCAACAACTAAATCTTTACTCTTGGCAATAGGTCACAATCAGTGATGGGGTCGTTACTCAAAAAAAGTAATGTATTACTCATTACTTTAAAAAAAAGAAGTTATATATTACTTTACTTCTTTACTCTCTACATAAAGTAACTCATTACATTACTCTTTACATTACTTTTGTGTTACTCAGCAACAGCCTACTGTATAGCCAAAACTTAAAACGTAGGCCAAATGTTCACACTATTACTATTGCAATAAAGAAGACATAACACAAGTTAATAACGGTGAACATTCTAGTTTGTGCTGCTTGTTCGGAGTCGGCACACACTGAACATCATCACTCTGGGCTCAGGGGTCTTTAGCTACTAGCTTTGTGTTAGCATGTTGCCTTTGCAGGTGCTTGGAGAGGTTTAATGCTGTGTTTTCAATAGTGCATCTTACCGTCACATTTCTGTCCTTTCTTCTGACAAATGTAAAATAATGGGCATACCTCCACCCCTCGAAAGTTATAGCTGTTGATGACTCAGCCATGTCTCTGCACTGCAGCACAACCCCTGTGACAGTTGCATGTCGCGCAAATGTTACGCAAATATAAACCTGCGGCGGAAATCCCTCTAGTGACTGGACATATTTAAAATTGTTCAAAGTTAGACCTATCATATTTACCAATCTCATCTACCCCTGGAACTAGCTAAACTAGTTATAAATATGTTTATTATTTACTGTCGTGTCGGGTCACTCATTCACTGGATCAGCGAGCTGCATGATTCAGACGGAGGGAGAGAGGAAAAGAGAGGCTCCGTTTATTATTCCTGAGTCCAAAGTTACTGTAAACTTCTGAATAATGTAGTAACTACTAGAGTCTAGTCTGTCAAAGGGAGAATAGTCATTTTTTTGCGCAATGTTAGTAACTGTAGTGTGATTACTGAATTTATAACAGTAACGCGTTACATTACTGCGTTACCGAAAAATGTAATGTGATTATGTGGCGAGGTTGGAAAATAACTAAGACTAAAAAGGGGTAGAATTAGAATAGTTGCCGACAACGCCATCTAGGTTAAAAGGAGCCTAGGACTCCTACTTAAAAGGCTACACGGGTTCTTTAAAAATCAGGGGTGAGCAGAGTTAAGAACCACAATCAAAATTAAGTTGACAACAGTTTATTATGTTAAAAGTAGAATTAAAATGCCCCAGTCTCTTGAGAGGTCTTGCGTCTCGGTCTTGTCCCAAGATCTCCTGAGCGGATAAAACAATATAGTCAGGCCACTGTGTGAGACACACTCGGTTACAAAGCCACTCCACACAAACACTTCACGCCACTGCACACTTAAAGGGCCCATGTCATGCATTTTCCGGTTATTACCCGTCCCCTTGTGTGTTATGAAGGTTCTTATGCATGTAAACGGTCTGCAGAGTCACAAACCCTCAAAGTGCACCCTGTAGGGAGTAAAACTCTAAGCAGAAGCTCAGAAGCGTCAGCCAATCAAATCATATGCCAATACAAGCTCTAACCAATCAAACCGCTGCTTGTGTGTCCGGGGCGGGAGATTCATGTGATTGGTTGTTGATCGAGCTTCAGACACACCCGCCGGCAAGCTTCAACGCACGCCGCCGTGTGGACGCTGCGTAACCCCTAGATTCCACCGGGTCCGTCTGCGCCGCGTTACGGCGGCCATTCACAGCGGCCATTCACAGCGATCGCGGCCACTCCAGTCAATGGGTGCTATCCCACCAGACGTGCCACGTTACGGCTAGAAGTGTCCCAGAAGTGTCCCAGAAGCGTCCCAGAAGTGTCCCAGAAGCGTCCCAGAAGCCTCCCAGAAGCGTCTCAGCGCTGGGCTCCGCTAAAAATAGGCGGCTGGTCTATTTTCGACGCGAGGCGTGGAAGTGGACCGGTCAGAGCATCCAGTCAATCCCCAAAATAAACTCATTTTGCAGACCCTATCCCTCCGTAGTCTTTCAAGTAGGAGGAGAAATGCCAGCGTTCTCCTCCGGTTTACAGGCACTGTGTAAATTATATATATAGAATAATTATTTCATTTAATTTCAAACCTTTATTTACCCAGGTGTATCCCATTGAGATCATTGATCTCTTTTTCAAGGGAGACCTGCTCAAGTAGGTTCCACATGAAACATACAAACATAAACAGAACAACAAAAAGGACATTTTACATCATCATCACAGGGATTACAATTTACATAACTATCCACATAAACAGGTACCTATAGCTTCCGATTGAGTAGCATCCAACCGAGCTTTAAAAACATTTAGTGGCACCAGATTGCTCAGTTTCTATTTAAGTTGCAGACTATTCCAAGACAGAGGAGCTGTGCATCTAAAAGCTGTCTTCCCTAAGACAGTCCTAGCAGTTGGCACATTTAATAAAACCACAGCATTCGATCTCAGGCAGTAGCCACTTACACTTTTCCGTGAGATCAGGGAGCAGATATAAGATGGAAGTTTCCCTAACATGGCTTTGTATATAGAAATGTACCAGTGACTGAGCCTCCGTACAGTTAGTGAAGGCAAACCAGCCCTTGCATACAGGGTACAGTGATGGGTTAATGCTTTACAGTTTGTCACAAATCTTAGTGCACTGTGATACGCAGCATCTAACTTGACCAGGCAATTGGCAGGTGCATTCATATACATCAAATCACCATAGTCCAGCACAGGTAAAAAGGTCACAGAGCCTTTTCCTGGCCTCAAGCGAGAAACAGGACTTGTTTCTGAAAAAGAAACCTAGTCTAACCCTCAGCTTTTTAAGCAGGTTATTGACATGAAGTTTAAAAGTGAGACAATCATCAAGCCAGATACCTAGGTATTTGTAACAGGTAACCACTTCAAGTTTTATTCCTTGTGTAGTTACAATATCTAAAACAGGCTCTGGTGTCTTTTTAGCTCTAGAAAAGAGCATTACCTTGGTTTTCTCAACATTTAAAAGAAGCTTTAGTTCAGAGAGCTGAGTCTGAATAATGTTAAAAACAGCCTGTAATTTAACACCAGCCTCCTTAATGGAGGGACCTGCACAGTACATCACGGTATCATCTGCATAAAAATGTAAGGTTGCTCCATCGCCATGTTCACCTAAACTGTTGATGTCGATGGAGAATAAAAGTGGACCTAAAACAGAACCTTGAGGAACACCATTAGCAATGTTCAACCACTCAGAAGACAGCCCATCAAAGTGAACACATTGGGACCTTTCAGAGAGGTAGTTCACAAACCAACCCACTGCATGGCTGGATATGCCTATACTGACTAGCCTCTGCTTCAAGATGCGATGATCGACGGTATCAAACGCATTATGATTATGATGATGAATGCATTTTTTTACCACTAAAATACAGCAACACATTTTTGATTCATGTTGTTTAAAACTGGAATATTACAATTATTATTAACTTTGTCTGTACAAAGTAGCCTGTCCAGGAAATATGCCCAAATCAACAAAAACCCTAACCCTACAAGCGCACACAATTAAAACACAGCAATACTTAATATAAAAAACATCAGATCCCATTAAAACTGACCCCTTCACAATTACACAAAGCGTTACACCCAACACTGGTCACAATAGCCTATTAAGCTAAAAAAGCTTATGCCATGAACTTGAAATGCCTTTCACACATCCCCATTTACAGCAAACAGTTAGAGTCCTATAGTGTTTACAGTAGCAATATCATACCCAAACATAGTATGGTGGGTGTGGCATCTTACTTAGATCCGGTTAATAGACTGGCTTATTTGCTGCCAAGAGGTCACCTGTGCTGGCATCACTTGAATCTTCTTTAGAGGCAATGAGTGCTTGTGAAGAGGCCAGCTATGCTCAGTACTCTGTAGTAACCTGGACTATTTGAAGGCAATGCTACTCAATACTGTGATATATAAACAAGTAGACAGAACATCTATGGACGTCAGGGTGCATGATGGGTTTCACTCCACAAGCTTCCTATCCCAATCTAGCTATCAGTGTTGAGATTTTTACTGTACAAAGTTAAGAGTCTAACTTATATTAAACATATAAGTGTTAATGCTGGCCACATACACATTTGTCCCTGGGTCTGAGTGTGTTTTTATGTGCAGCTGTCAGTCTCTTGAATGCTGAAATGTCAGCCCTCTCAGTTTGGACTCCTTGTAGAGCACTGCCTCTTTGCTGTGGCTGGCCAAACAGATGAATATGTATTATTTGACATTTGGCAGATCAGCACACTGACAGTTGAGATTGATCTTGTAATCTATTCCTTCCCCTTCAAACTCCTTTTCTTCCTTGCAAACCTTTCAACAAAGTTGCACACAAGTGTCTTTGTGTCAGTGGCTGCCTGTGTGGAATTGATGCATTTGTTCTCACTAGTCCATTTGGAAATATTGCTTACCTGTCTGCTGCAGAAGAACTCAGAGATTCTGCTGAAAACACAGAAACTCCTATATCACAGCATGAAGCTTTCTGGGGCTGCTAGATTTATAATATGCCATCAACATTTATTTAGCAAGGAAAAGTTTCAATATAGCACTTTTATCAAGTTCCAGTGAAAATCAAATACTAGTCACACACACACACACACAAACACACACACACACACACACACACACACACACACACACACACACACACACACACACACACACACACACACAATTTCGGCAGTACGGCTCATACGGCTCCATCCTTTAAGGCAACAACTGATACTGATATTTCAGTAGTAAAAAATAATTTTGTGTTCGTT